CTTCGAGCTTTTATTGGAAATTAATTTCATGTTGCGTCACTAAATTACTGAAAGTCAATGCAATCAAAATGATGTTGTATTCTCATTTTGATTAGGCAGTTTTACTCATAAGTATAATGACTTGTATTGTTAGGTGAAGCTAAACGACAAGGATACTAATATTCATCATTCTTATTTTATTGAAAATTAAAAAAAATACATGAATTGGCAGATTTCGCCTCCATTATTTGATAGTGTTCAATGGAGTAGTAATATAAATTTAGACTCTCCAATAAAAACATTCTTAGTGCATGTGTTGATCTAAAAACAAAACATTATCATATATACCTTTCATGACTACCTTTATATACAAAGATAATGATAATAATAAGGAAAGTTGGAAAAAATCGTTACCAGAACAACAAGAGAAACTTGCTGCTTAATACTCCTGATGGGAGTTGGCACACAAAGCTCCATCATCACCAGTATACTTGTGGCACAAAGATGAGTTTAGACTCATCAAGTGCCCTAACTCTCTTCCCCGGCCTTTTAGAATAAGTAGAAATCCCACACCCTGTTGCCCTCATACTCCTTCTCGATAAGGGTGATTACTCTCAAAGTTGTGGGGATCTTATTTGATATTATTGTGGGTTTTGAATTAGGCTGTCTACTTTGAGTGTTAAAATAAATAAATTCATCTATGCATTATATCTCTTGTAAATTTACTTCATATGTATTTTGTTTGCTAATTTCTAGTGTTGAAATTCAGATTGCTAATTTCTAGTAATGGTATGTTTTAGGTAGAAAGCAAAACACATCTTAGATAAATAAAGATAGATGGCCGATCTATTAGATATTTGTGTTTACTGAAGTGTCATTAGAAATTCTGTTGGAAATAGATATTTCATTATGTTCTGTTTTTTTATGAATTTCTGTAAATTTTACTCTATGGTTCCTCCCCTTTTAATTTCAGCCTACTAGAATAATAATGACTGATAGATCTTGGATGTATTTAGCTTCGCGGTCAAGTGAACAGTTCGTAAATGGAGTTGAGAGTTTTATACAATTTGCTTTTCAAAGATCAAGTCATGATGGAAAAATTTTATGCCCATGTAAAAAGTGTTATAATATGTTTTATCATACTCGGGGGGAAGTGTTTGATCACGTAATATGTAGTGGATTCCGAAATGAATACACCGAATGGGTAGATCATGGAGAACATCGAATGTCATCTTCTTCAAGTTCTATGCCTAATAATGAAGAAGGGGTTCTTAGTCATGACATGAGAAGCTTATTGGATGACTTGTTACAATCAGTCCATGTAGATGGAAGTACTTCTAACACGGAGGAGCACGAAAGGAGCACGGGGTTGGGTGAATTTAGGGATCCACCAAACTCTGAAACTAAAAAAGATAAGTTTAATGACTTGTTACAGGATTCTGAAAAAGCAGTGTATCCAAACTCAAAGTATAGCAAGCTTTCTTGTTTGGTACATTTGTTTCATTTGAAGTGCTTGAATGGTTGGAGCAACAAATCATTTTCTATGCTGCTAGAGTTTTTAAAAGATTTGTTGCCTGATCAAAATTTACTGCCCAATACGACTTATCAAGTGAAAAAACTACTTGGAGACCTAGGTTTAAGATATGAAAAGATCCATGCATGCCCAAATGGTTGTATGTTGTTTTGGGATGATAAGGAGAATGAAGAGGTGTGCTCAATTTGTGGAGAATCAAGATGGAAAGTTTCCACTGATAATATAAGTGACACGGTAAACACTCAAAACAAAAAGGCAGCAAAGATTTTACGTTGGTTCCCTTTGAAACCAAGGCTCCAAAGATTATTTATGTCTATAAAGACATCCGATCTCACAAAGTGGCATCATACAGAACGCACAAATGATGGAAAGATGCGACATCCAGCTGATGGTGAAGCATGGAAGAACTTCAAAAACAAGTACCCCGAGTTTTCTAGTGACCCAAGAAACGTTTGTTTAGCCCTTGCAAGTGATGGTTTCAACCCTTTTAGGACAATGAATCTCAGTTACAGTATTTGGCCAGTCATTCTTATTCCATACAATTTACCTCCATGGTTGGTAATGAAACAACCCAACTTCATTCTATCTTTAATTATCCCTGGACCGAATGGTCCAGGTAATAAGATAGATGTATACATGCAACCGTTGCTAAAAGAACTGATAGAGTTGTGGGAGGTTGGCGTTGAGACTTTTGATGCAAGTAGTAAAGATTACTTTCAAATGAAAGCAGCCTTACTTTATACAATTTCTGACTTTCCTGGCTATGCAAACCTTTCTGGATGGAGCACTAAAGGAGAATTTGCGTGTCCTAAATGTGCCTTTCATACCGCTTCAGAATGGCTGCAATATGGCAAAAAATTCTGCTATATGTGCCATAGGAGATGGCTTCCATCTGATCATAGGTGGCGATATGAGGCCCAAGCTTTTAATGGGGAGCAAGAACTACGAGTTGCCCCTTCCCCTATAACTGGACATTCTTCTTTGCAGCAAGTAGAGGGACTTGAATTCCTAAGTGAAGTTGATGATCATGGCCCATGGAAAAAGAAAAGCATATTGTTTATGTTGCCTTATTGGAAACATTTGTTATTGCGTCATAATCTTGACGTTATGCATATTGAAAAAAATGTGTGCGAGAATATTTTCGGGACTTTGTTGGGGCAGGGCAAGAAATCAAAAGACAATTACAAAGCAAGGTTGGACTTACAGAAAATGGGTATAAGAAAAGAACTTCACCCACGAAAGCGTCATGTAAGCAATACTACATACTTGCCACGAGCATGTTATCAAATGACTCGACCCGAGAAAGATTCTTTCTTGAAAACCTTAAAGAATATGAAACCTCCAGATGAATTTTCTTCCAACATATCTCGTTGTGTGCAAGGGAAGAAACTTACAGGGTTGAAAAGCTATGACTGTCACATGTTGATGCAAGAATACCTACCAATTGCATTAAGAGGGACATTGCCGGATAACGTGGCCTCAGTTATAATTGAGTTGTGCGATTTCTTTAAGGGCATTTGTTGTAAGGATTTGTCTGAACCAGATCTTCAGTTTCTTGAAATGAGGGTTAGAATAACCTTGTGCAAACTGGAGAAAATTTTTCCTCCTTCTTTTTTTACTATCATGGTGCACTTGGTGGTCCATCTAGTTGAAGAGATAAGGCTTGGAGGACCAGTAACTTTTAGGTGGATGTATTCTGTTGAAAGGTAACTGATTTTAAAACCAATTTCACTTTTATTATGTATAACTATATGTATTATGTAACTCACAAGTCTTATTTTGAAATTATATTTGCAGGGCACTTTCAACGTTGAAGTCCTACGTTCATAATAAGGCTTGTCCAGAAGGCTCAATTGCAGAAGGATATTTAGCTATGGAAAGTTTAACCTTTGTCTCCCGGTATCTCTCTGGAGTTGAGACATTGTTTACTCGACCCATAAGAAATTATGACGAAGGTGAGCAAAATGAAATCGAAGAAATAAGCTCACTTTGTCCTGGACGTCCATTACGAAAAAGAAGTCAATGTAGTGTACTTATTCGAAAGAGAAAGAGAGTCAATCATCATGTGATTGATGACAAGTTGTTGATACAAGGTCATCGTTATGTGTTGTTCAATGTTGAGTCAATCATACCATTTAGAGAGTAAGTGTAACACCGTTCCTTATTTATTTCTTATGGTATGATTTCTCTCTCAATTTATTTATAAGTTTTCTTTATTTGAAGGGAGCATAAGTCAATTGTTAAGAGTAGAAACCGTTCACGGAGACCACCTGAATATGAAATTGAGAGGCTTCATTGCCAACAGTTCAGTGAATGGTTCCAAAAATGGGTATTAGACATTTTTTTAAATCTGTTGTGTGCAGAATTTATACAAATTTATTCTGAATCATAACATTCTATGATGATATAGGTATCACGTTTAGTAGAAGAAGGGGATGCAAGAGTCAGTGAAGAAATAAAATGGCTTTCTCTTGGTCCTCACACTTCAGTGAAGAAGTATTCAGGATATTTTGTGAAGGGATATCGTTTTCACACAAAAAATCATGAGAGGTTCTTGAAAACACAAAACAGTGGGATTGTTGTAACAGTGAAAAGTGAAAGTTTTGCTAGCCCCCGTGATAGGAGGCCAATTTCTGGTGTGATAAACTACTATGGCTCACTCAATGACATCATTGAGTTGAACTATTCTGGTAAACTAAGAGTTGTTCTATTCAAATGTGACTGGGTTGATGTGAATAGAGGTGTGAAGCAAGATAATATGGGAGCAACACTAGTTAACTTTTCATATTTGACACACACCGGAGCAAATTTGCTTGATGACCCATTTGTTCTCGCCTCACAAGTTGATAAAGTCTTTTATGCCAAAGATTCCAAATCTGAAGATTGGTTGGTTGTGAGGCATGTCAAAGTTAGAGATATGTTTAACCTTGGAAACAATGGTGATCGTATAAACATGTCAAATGATGTTTTATTTGACATGCCAAACTTGCATAGAGTTGGAGACGATGGTGATAATGGAGTTGATGTCACTCCAATGATGGAAGTAGAGACCAGTGATGAAGAAGATGCAGAAGCTAGCAAAAATGCTACTTAAATAGCCAAAATTATTATTAACTAAAATGCATATTAGTTTTTTTTCTTGGTTCAGTGTAACATTTGCCTCCTTAAGTAACCTTTATACATTTGGTTTAACATTGTTGGTTTCTGTTTGAAGTTTTTTACTTATCACCAATCTTATTTGTTTATTATCATCAGATGACTTGTTACTTGGTTATTTAACCATTGCTACAATTTAATGAATATACATGTTACAATTCTATCTTTTATTGTACTATGTTGAGTAGGGATGGCTAAACGTAAGAGATTGAACATCATCTCAATCAGTAACACCTCAAGTGCTCGAAATGAAGAGTTAGAGACAAATGAAAGCCAAAGACAACACCAAAGCCTTGGGGAGCATTCCAATGCTAGAAATGCTTCAAGAAGATATCAACAACCTTGTTCAAATACCTTACAAAGCTCTCAACCATCAACAAATGAACCAGAATCTTCTGAAACATCTATTTCAGCACATATGCACAGTTCCCAAACATCAGGTCATTTATGTTTTCAGAAATTTTCAAAATTAATTGGATTACTTATTTACATAATCTTTACTATTTCTATCCCATTTCAAAGGTATTGCTAAGAAGGTTCGAGGTCCAACGCAAAAACTTGGGATTTGGGAGCTAAAAGGAGACACAAGAATAGCTGTTACTTTCAATGATTTGGTGCAACCAATAGGAGAAGAAGGAAAAGAACTTACTCAATTCTTGGGCACACTTGTGAAAATGCCAAATCATGTTGGAATAAACTTTCATGAGTGGAGAGACGTCGCTAATACATCAAAGGAAACTTTATGGAGCATTGTGAAGGTAATTGTAGTAGGTTCTTTGTACATTATCCTGAGGTCCTGAGCTGAGTCCCCCTTCCTGGTTTAGTTTTGCAGGGATATATATGATGCTTCAAAGTCCCTTTTATGCTTAATATCCATTTCTTTGTTTTATCTAACCATAACTTTGGTTTCCAAATTTTATTTTGATACATCATTTCATGCAGTTGGATTTGATTCTCACTAATAATAACCCTTCCATGGATTCTAAAGTAGCAATGTTTTTATGTAGGAGAAATTTAAATTCCTACCAGCTGAAACTACAGAAGTTAAGAAATGGATAATTGCGAATATGGGATCAAAGTGGAAGTCATGGAAAAACACTTTGAAAGAACGAAATTATGATCCAGCTCTATCTGTTGATGAAATGGTAGAAAATGAGAAAGATAAGAGGGTAAACAAGTCTCAGTTTAAAGAGCTTGTTAAGACTTGGGTTGATCCAGAGTTCCAGGTGATTAGATGTTGGTTAATATATATTTTTATTGAAGAACCAAGTAGACAGTTTTTCAACTTTGCAGGAATAAAAAGATTAGAATATATTTTCACTAACTCTTTTGATTATATTTTGTTTCTTTTTATTTGAGAATATCAGGCAATGTGTGAAGTAAAAAAAAGGAGTCGGTTGAAGAATCAAGAGCCACATGTCACGGGGTCAAAGTCTTTTGCTAGAGTTGCGGAAGAAGAGGTGCTTGTAATAAAATATAATCATTTCATTAACAAATATTCAAATTTTCTGTATTATATTGTTTATGATACTCTCTCTTTGAAGTCAAATTCCCAAAATACCCCTTATCTTTGACATATATTTGTATTACTTGCCTCTTGTTATAAGATCTAAGTTATTTTAATATTTAATTGCCACAGGCTTCAAAGAATAATGGTGTACTACCGACACGTGGAAAATTATTCATTAAAACCCGAACTCGAAAAGATGGCACTATTATCAATCCTGCAGCAACAACAGTCGTGGTACTATGTTTCGAGCTTGTTTTTCTTATGCAACAATTTGTTAAAATGACGTTGTGTGGATTTATTTTCTTTTCAATTGAGACGCTTAGAATGATGTGCTTAATATTTCACAAGTCCATCTTAAATGAATTTTTGGGTGGTTTATGTTTAGGAAGCTCTTCATAATGTGATGAATGAGAGTGATGACACTCAAGATTCTGAAGACACTGTTGATTGGAGACACGATGATTTAGCCAAAGTGAAAGGTCCAGAAAAAAGAGGACGAATACGTTGTGTAGGATTTACAATCTTGAAGGATAAATGTGCTTCTTCCTCACAACAATCACAAATGCCCATACAAGATCCACAAGTTCCCATTCTTCAAGCTCAAGTTTCTACACTTACAAGAAAGGTTGATATTCTGTTAGGTGCTTTCAAAAAGAATCTATCTCCTCAACAATTGAGTGCAATACTCAATGATTTGAATAATGAGGTAATATATGCTTGTCTTAAATTTGTGTGATACTATTATCATTAATTATTTTGTAGAGATTATTGTTAGCATGGATATAAAATGCTCTGATATATTCTGAAGATTACCAGGTTAATCTTTAGTTCAAAGGTCTAACTAATCTACGGCTTGAGTGAGACATAGCAACAACGTTTATGAACTAAATATTATTTGAGATTACCAAAAAGTAATCTGAACTAAATATTACTTGAGTGGAGCCTGGTGGCCGCTCTAAAGATTACTAGGCTAATCTACTTTTGTCACCTAAAAAGTATTTGAGAACTAAATACTAAAGAATGAGGTTTATGAATGACATACTGGTTTATGAATGAAAGAGTACTTTGGTACATTTTGTTTGGGGCTTTTGGTTTGCCAGATGGCAAACCTACTCATCTCACCTCATTATGGTACTTTTTCTTTTCATTATTTTAGTGTTGTCTAATTGTACACTGGGGTCACAGATCTTTTAGTAAACAATTATGTTTGTTATTGATGAATATATCCTCAAATTCAAACACATGGTTGGACAATCAAATCAATTTAAAAGTGCAAAAGAGGAAGCAATTCAAACTTAAACCTGACTTGTGAGGAGTGAGATATTGTGAGCTGCATTCTTTATTTTTCCTTTTTTGTAGTTACTTGATGGATAAATTGTAAGAATGATGTGTTTTTGAAGCAGTCATAATATAGTTGTCATGCAGTGTCACTTGAGTGTGGGTGGATTATAATGTATTTATTGATCATGAGATAAACTTTACTATATTCTTTGTGGTGATATTTTCAGGCCGTTGATGAACTTTCTCCGACACATGATAGATCTTCAACTGGAAGCCATCAACCCAATGGAGCTAATTAGAGATTTAGTATATAGTTGATCTTGAAAGAACAAGTTATTTCAATTTGAATGTTGCAAAATACAATCTGGTCATGTGTACTTTGTTTTTTTGGTCTTTTAGATACACTTGAATGACATACTAAAACCTTATTTCAATTTGTGAGTTTGAATATGAAAATAATTTCTAATATCCTACATCCTACATTGTTATTGCAAACATGAAATATATGAGACAATTGAAACAATTGTTATTAACATATTATCCACTAAATTTATTGAACATGATTTTTCTTGACACCTAAATGTGTGTCATCTTAAAGCTTCCTTGACACACAAACGTTGTGTAAGATTTAGATCAATTGCGTGTCACTAAAGGTCTATAAAGATTCACCAACACTTTGCCTTGAGTGTCAAGCATTGTTTTTACTAACACCTCTCCTCTTGACACTTTTTATATGTGTTGGCAATTCCCTCAAGAGGGCTATCTTGACGCTTCCCCATCTTTTTCTAACACTTTTTGGGTGTCAAGGAATGTTACTTTTCTTGTAGTGGATGAAATCAATTGAGATTGATAACCTCAACACAACGGTTTCGGTTTAACCAACAAAAATTATCCCTCTTAAGTTTATCAACCACGACTGTGCATTAATAAACCGAAGTTACTTACTTGTGAAACCATCAACGATTAACCATCGATTCATCGATCGTTTCTAGTACTAATTAATATATGAAACAAAACTAGTTGATCCTTTAAGTAATGTTCAAAATATTAATATGAAATATGAATAGGAATTAATAAATATTCAAGGAAGAATATTATTAAAGGAGATGAATCCTACTATAATTAATATCAAGATGTTAACTAATTGTCATCTTAGCAACACTCCCCAACATTAATATAGAGGAAGAAAATACTACTCTAACTAATGTCAAGATGTTAACTAATTGTCATCTTAGCAACACTCCCCAACATTAATATAGAGATAGTATTAAGGAAAAAACGAATAATTAATATTCAAGGGAAGAAGTTAAGAAAGTAACTCACAACTTTAATAATCAACAAGCTTCAAGAGCAACACCAAGAATTGGAAGTTTAGCTCCTCATTTGGAGACTAAACATGCTATAAAAATATAAAGAAATGCTATCCCAAACTGAGATTAAGAGTATATGTGAATTGGTGATCAAATGGGAAGGAAAAGGGGTGTATTTATAGGTGTTTGGAGGTGGCAGGGTCATTTACCCGACCAGGTTTTTCAGAAACCCGATCGGGTTTCTTGAGTAAGTGCCCGGAATCTTCATTAGTCACATCTACCCAATCGGGTTTTCGATTTACCCATCGAGTAAAAGACAAATCTTTGCCAAATCTTCGCCCTGCACGTTTAATTGCCTCCAAATCAGATTTGATCTTCGGTTCAAGTCAAACCCGATCGGGTTTTTGACTATTTTCCCAAATTTTCACTTTCTCTTGTTCCCTTGCACTTTCCTTGACCTCTCCAGGATCCTTTTGATGATCTTTACCTAGTTTAAGCTCAAAAAATCCCTAATCTATACAAATTACAAGTAACTAGGAAAAATAAAGTATTACACCAAAAGTGTGTAATTTCCCAAACAACAACAAATAAAACTAGTTAAAATTACAAACATAAACAATAACAATTTTATACTATCAAACTCCCCCTACTTAGTTCATTACTCGTCCTCGAGTAAAAGTCCACATAACAGCTCACAATCCGTCCATTGAACAGATAATTTCAAAGGAATAAAACGTTCAGTTTGTTCATCCATCCTCACAATACAAAGAAAAGAGGGTCTTCATGATCTTCAACAACAAATGTTCTTTTCATTGATTGTATCCCAAAAACTTCCAAATGAAATGAGTTTCTGTATAATCTCAGATAGAATTCCTCTGATTCTCTCATTCTGCTTAGGAGCCTTTTCAGGTTTTCATCATAGCATATGTTTTTATTTTCCGTTTTCTCCCAACTCACTCGTTTTAGCCACTTTTGCTTAGATTGCCCAATTTGTGGGTTTTCAACCTAACTAGCATTTTTCTTTTATTTGTTTATTCTCTTTTTGTTTTGTTTTTTTATGTTTTTTTTTTGAAGAAAATAATGCAAGTTACAAGGTAAAAAATGAGTATATACCAAATGAGTGACTCCCCCTACTTACTTAGAGCATTGTCCCTAGTGCTCCTTGCTTTCATCCTTGCCTTGATAGTCATGAGTATTTTTGTTTTTGAGAAATTGGGATTTTGAGGAGATTTGAGCTAGTTTTTCAAATTTAAGTTTTGGGGGAGGGATATCGGGTTTTTGATGATATGAGAGTGATGACGTAGATGAGGAGATTTTTTTTGTGATGGTTTGGGATGATTTGGAAGAGGGAATTTCGTGGCTATGGGTCTTGGGGAAGATTAGTTTGAAAGTTGGGGAAGATGGGGCTTGGTTCGAACTGATTTCGGGATAAAATTTGGTTAAAAACCCATAAACCCGATAGGGTTTTTGAAAAACCCGGACGGGTTTTTGTTCCCAGGTCTTTTTTCTGTTTCTTTTTGTAAACGGTCTGTGAATCGTGTGGTTCATGCAATTGAAAGAGCACATGCATGTAGATCTCTCAGTTCAGCATAGTAGCTATGATGTTTTACCTGGATGTATTGCTAGCCTATTGGCTAATGACTGTTTGGATTAATAA